GGGAGGGAAGAAGGGTGGGTGAGGGGCTTACTCGGGGGATTGATGGACTACTGATTGTGTGGGAAGAGGGAAGAAGGGAGGGAAGGAGGGAGGGAGGGAAGGAGGGAGGGGGAGAGAGGGAGCTTACCGTCATAGACACTGCTGTTCATCTGATCGTCCATTCCCAGCTGTACGTGAAGGATGCGAAAACGAGACCCTGCTGAGTGCCCTCGACCTTCCCCTCCTCTTTTTCCTCCTCCTCCTTCCTCCCTTCCGTCTTACCTCCTTCTCAGAGCGCAGGTCGATCAAGGTTTTGAATTTGGCCGTTTCTCGAATGAATTTGATCTGCGGGGGGACAGACGGAGGACGGAAAGAAATGGAGGAGAAAGGGAGGGAGGGAAAGCATACGATATAAAAAGGTTACGGCGCCTGACTCATTGTTGCATCGCACGGATACATGATAGGCTCACATGGCTCCTGTCACGTGGTATCGGGCCCTTTCTTCCCTCCCTCCCTCCCGCCCTCCTCCTTTCCCTCCTACTACGCACGTCTTCCTCCGAAGCCTTGCTCAGGTATCCTGTGCGATAAATGCGTCCCGCTTTAATCCCGGACCCACGCACGGAGGATAGGTCACGGATGTTTTTCACTCGTTCCAGTTTGATCCCCCCTGTCACCATGCCGACGGCAGCAGCGGCGGCGGCGGCGGCAGCGGCATCGGATGGTGGAGTGGAGGAAGGGGAGGGAGGGGAGGACGATGGAGACGAGGAGGAGGTAGAGGAGGAGGACGAGGAAGAAGAGGAGTCGCTGCGCGTCCGACAAAGGGAAGAGAGGCAGATGTGAGTCAAGGACACGAACCAACGGTGTCAGCGGTGAGGCCCCCCCACACCCTAATCCTACCTCATCCCTCCAAGGGAGGCAGCAGACGAAGCAATGTTCAGAGCACGGTGGCGGGCACCTGAGGGCGAGCAAGGTATTCTTGCGCGATCTTCAAAGGCAGGAAGGTTAGAGGAAGGAGAGGAGGAGGCGGAGGACGAAGCCCAGGCGCAGGTGGGGGGCAAAGGTATGAATCCATCCACCACCGCAGCGATTAAAAAGGGGAAGAGAAGAACAGCCACACGCACACTGGCCTTCATGTTTTTCCGCACGTTCCTGGGAATTGGGGAGGTGGACGAGGCTGGAAGTCGACCAGGGGGAAGGCGATGGGATGGATCGAGCTGGGAAAGATCTTTCGAGGGGAAGAATTTGGGATGGTAAAAACACACGTCTCTTCCTGCCACAAGCGGTGGCGTCTGGAGGACACCTGAGAAAATGTCAGGAAATAATCATGCGTGAGTGCTACTGTAAGGCCATAAGGTGAGATTAGCGGGTTAGGAAATGCATCGTAGGAGCAGGCGAAAACGATCGTCACGCCGGAGGGGGGTGGCGAGAAGCCCGAAAAAAATCTGCACGGGAGCCCACAACTCCCGAACGCATCGACCTGACCGTCCGACGCATGCCAGGACCACCACTTCCTCTTAAACATGGGCATATGCCTACGGACGCGGTCATGGTCCTGTCCAACGAAGGCGAGGTCGCTCTACAGGCTTTGGGTTGCATTCCTCTATATCGCTCTTATTATGAGGAGATAGACCCTGATGGTCGCATGTCTGAATTCCTGCCACTGTCTCCACGCGAGCCTTTCCTGCCCCCTGGTGCGTGTCTTCCGCCCACTATCTCGTGGCATGGACGGTTGTACGCGTAATTGAGGGGCGTGGGGGTAGTTCTGGATGTCTTTTAAAATAGACGGCTGGGCTTGTGCATCTCACGAACCAGCCTGAGAGCAAGCAACTGAATCCTCCTTGATTACACCCGGTATGTAGCCGGGACGGCGTTTGTGTCCACGGTTGCTCACTTCCACGTGCATTCACACACATTCTTTTGTGTGTAGGGACCGTCATGTCTGCCGCCGCAACGACATACTGGCGCATTGCCGGCCTTACTTACTTGCAGGTAAGCTGCCCCCCCTCCCGTCCTTTTCCTCCCTCCTTCCTCTCCTCCTCCCACTTCATCCCGTGAGATGATTCATGTCTTTTCGTTCACGCCATACATACCATCGTCACAGTACACGAGCAAGGCTGCCGGTGTGCTGCGTGCCGCTTTGAAGGTGCGAAGCCGACGGAGAGGGAGGAAGGAATAAAAAAGTGGGAGGACGTGAAAAATGCGTATGAGCTTGTGCGATCGACATCTGTCCTTTTCCCTGTGTGTATGTGTTTTGAAGAAGCATTCTCATGGAAGGAAATGAACGGAGAGGCCAAGGTAGTCAGAGGTCCTCGTAGCGTACAGAGAAAGGTATCTGAGCCCTTCCTTTTGCCCCTTCCTCTTCCCACTTCTCATCAGGAACCACTTCGAACAAAAACCATGGCGAAGGAGAAGATCTTCTTTAAAAGGCTGGAATGGTCCCCCAAAATGATTGGGCAGCCCGTCGGTCCTTTGAAAGGTGAGGAAGGAAAGAGAGGAGGCAGGCGGGCGGACGAGCGGCACGGGCGGGTGCACGGATGGCTGATGTGTGGACGAGTTTCATCCATGCCTTCTCATCTTCTTTCATTTATTTTAATGCTCACCACCCTCAGTCGAGGTAACATCGCTCAAGTAAAATCGTGATCGAGTGCTTCGGCTCCCGAGGTGGGGAGGGAAGATGGGTGGGAGAGGGGGGGGGGCAGGAGGCGCAGGGGGAGCACGCGATGTGGACGCTACGGGTTCGATTTGTGAGGGAGGGAGGGGTGCAAGGGAGGGTCAGAGGCCCCCTGTCTGGTTGGAAAGGGAGGCAAGGGCCAAGGAGAGGCGACAGGCGGGGGTTGAGGGGGGTGTTCGTCATGGAGAAAGGAAGGAGTCTGACGCATCGGTGATTCTTGCGTTTTTTTTGGTTTTTCTTTCGGGGGGCGGGTTCTTTCTTCTGGAGAGGGACACCCCCCCCTGCTTTCACGACACGCGCTGCCAGGAATAGTGAGGCAGCACGCGGGTATCCGGGAAGTGCCCCCTCACGGCCATGTCGTCGCTTTCTCCCTCCTGCTTACCGCATCAAAGCACGAGCCAGTCTTTCCCCCGGCCCATTGCATCGCTTGCAAATTTTGAAAAATTGTCCTCACCCGAGATTCGGAGCGCTTTCCCAACTCGCCCCACCTCGATTATTTTCGCTCCTGCCTTCCCCTTTCCGGCATGTCTGACAGCCTTCCGTCTCGCCAATCCTCACTGACAGCTCTGAGCGTCATATCCATCTAAGACAACCTTCCCCTTTCTCCCCTCCACCCATCCCAACAACGCAACAAAGCATCACGTTCCGAACGTCAAATGCCTCCTAGCACTAAGAAACGTGCTGTCCAATATATTTCTTCTCCACTGGCGCCGGCAGCCGCTATCGCCAAGTGGGACGACCAGCGCACGCAAACTCACTCACGGATGTCAAATCTGTGCCCTCCTGCCTCAATATCATCGCTGAACCACCTTTTTTTGGTCATCCCTCCGC